TTAGAGCTGTCAGTTTACGCGTTTTTATTGGCATTAATTTAAATAATTTTTGACGGGATTAAAAATTTTCTCGCGGGATTAAATTTTCTTGCGAGATTAACGCGGCACCACACGACACCGGATGTTACGTTGCTCTAAAATAAATGCGCATATCTGTTTGGTCAGCCACAGTTTGAGCGGCAGCGTGAGATACCGAAAATGAATACTAAATCACTTATGAATGGACAGTTTACTTTTAAAAAGTGCCAGATGGCTCAACTGACAAGACCAAGGTTGTCTGTGTGTTTTGCAGTCGCGAATTGAGTTATCATCGTAGCACATTGAGTTTGAAGTACCACTTAATGGCCAAGCGCACGGCTGATGTAAGTACTATGCCCCCTCGTCTAAGCCAGACAACCATGGAGAATTTCAAAGAGAAGAAAATGGATAACGCAACTAAGAGCAAACTTATTCGAGCCATAGCTAACTGGGCGGCAACTGCATGCAGGCCTGTTAACATTGTGGAGGACGAGGGTCTCGCTGAAATAATTCGAATTGCATCGAACGACTCCTCCTACGAAATGCCGACGAGAGCCAACATGACAAGCCAGGTGCAGAAATTGTACGAAGCGGAGAAGGATAAAGTACGCCAAGCGTTGGAGACGACACAAGCAGTTGCGCTCACCGGGGATTACTGGACTTCCCTTAGTAATCACAACTACTTCGGAGTCACAGCCCATTATTTTGACCAACAGTGGGAACTTAAGTCGCATTCTTTGACTGTTGCAAAGACAGAAGAGAGGCACTTCGCTGACGCTGTTGCAAAGCACTTTGTGCGAGTATCTAGAGAGTGGGAAATTGAACACAAAATTGTCTCATTTACCACGGATAGTGCACGCAACATGATTGCAGCGACCAGGCTGCTTCCCTTTCAGCACATCCCGTGCATCGTTCATGCTTTGCACTGAGCAGTCACAGTTTCTTTAACCAACAGCCTGTTTGACAGCGCATTGACAAAATGCAGAAAAGTTGTAGGACACTTCAAGCATAGTCCAGCAAACCAAGCGGACCTCGAGAAGCAACAAGTTGCACATCTCGCGGGCCGGATTAAACTCCTTTGCGGACCGGATCCGGCCCGCGGGCCGTATGTTTGACACCACTGCTCTAGCCGGTCGCGCATCCAACGTTGCCATGCCAACAGATACTGAGATGGAGAAATTGAAGAGGCTCATGGCTATGCTGGAGAACTTGAGGTAAATGACTGTGTATCCATGTCATGTGAAAATCTGTTTTCAGATTTTCACATGAATGAGGTGTGTGTGTGCATGTCTACCTGTCTGTTGTTCATGTCTACTTGTGTCGTGTGTGTGTATGTGTCTACTTGTGTGTTGTAAATATCTACCTGTGTGTGTGGACATGAGTTGTGGGTATGTGAACTCTCGTTAAATTACAGTAGGCATCAGCAGTTCCCCACTAAAGTGCTTATCTATATTATTTCAGGTATGTGTCTGAACTTCTTGGGGGAGAGAAGTCTGTGTCTTGTTCGATGGTGCTGCCAGCATTGTGTCATCTGTCACGAGTAATGGAGGTCAGAGAGGACGATCCAGCCCACATGATCAAGTTTAAAGGAGCCTTCTTAGCAGACATGGAGAGTCGCAAGGAGAAGATGAACATCACATGGCTGAAAGTTGCAACTGCACTAGACCCAAGGTCAGATTGTCATGCTTTATTCTTACTTAATGCTCATTCTCAGCATTGCGTTTCAGTGTTTTGTATTTGTATTTGAATTTATATATGTATGAATCTTGTTTTGTTTATCTGCACCCGTACCTGTATTTAATTTGGTTTTCATTTTGTTTCAAGGTTTAAGGACCTCAAGTGTCTGAGCAAACCTGACAAGGCTGAGGTGTGGGATATGGTCCACACCTTGCTTCAGGAGGTGCCCGTATAGCTAGATAAGCAAGTCACGTCTGAGCCTCCGACAAAGAAACCAACTCTTTTGCTTGCACTTGAGTCTTCTTGTGAAGAGGAGGAGGACAGTCTTGAGCAATGTCTGGAGCGCTACAAGGCAGAGCATCTTGCTGGCATTGATGACTGTCCCCAAGAATGGTGGTCCACACATGAAGGAGCACACAGAGAAATGTCCCACCTTGCACGCAAGTACTTGGCAACACCGGCTTCATCAGTACCTACTGAGAGGTTGTTTTCAATATCTGGCCACATTGTACGGAAGAAGCGAGCTTCCCTTTCGTCTGAAAATGTCAACAGGCTTGTCTGTTTGAGTGACTGGCTCAAAGCAAAGAAGTATTAGGCTAGGCTTACATTTTATAGTTTACTGTTTTTCTCTTAATTTACTGTTACTTTTCTGTTTTGGGAGAGAAATAATAGACTAGGTTGATGAGCCTCTGCGAATAATGAGCAGGTAGCCTGACAGCTGTGTTCAAAGCAAATTGAGAAAACGCAAGTATTAAACCATGGTTCAACTGCACTATAGACTGAGTACTAATTTCTCTTAGATGTGCACTTTATAATTTTATATTGCTCCGTTTTGAGCTGTTGTGTGACAAAATGTTTGTTTCCACTGTTATTGATGACAGTTATATTGTGTGAGAGATTATGTGCTCCAAGTGTGAATAACTGCTCCAAATGAAAAATGTTAATGTAAAATTTCAAATTGAAATTGCTGTTTCAATAAATATTTGCATTTTGTACAAAGAAAACGGATCCATGATTACATGTTGATGAGAGCATTAAAACGGG